AATTTGGCTAGACATAAGACAAAATTGAGAAAAACTTTTGCTGATGAAGATTGATTGCATCGAGAGTGACAGATCAAATACTATTGCTTGGCGATTCTGTGTGTGAAGAAAAATGTTTTCACTCACTCTGAAAACCGTGTCTATCGTCAATGGAAATTGCGTTTTGATTGAAGTGAATTGCCATTTGAAAAGTGTAAAATTCATTGCCAGATTCCGAATTTTTAGTTCAGAGAAGAAAGCGAAATTGATAAGATATTGAAAATTGACTGGAATTTGAAAGGGAAATGTTTTTTGTTTGGATCGAGACGAACTATTTTATGCGATCATCACTAGCGTTACTTCAGAAACATCAGCAAATCGCCTTTCTCATCAGGCCTCAATTACGCACCAACAATAATTCAGCGAACTCAACAATAAAGAGTCTCAGTCACATAATCACACATAAAGACACCAATTTCAAACAAAATTAGCCGTCATTTGAGGTGGTTGCTGTAACATTGAACATCTTGCATTGTTCCATTCGCTCGCTACATAGTCATTCCTTACACCCACCTGAATGTAGGCAAAAATTCATTGTTGATTAATTACTCTACCAAAATGATAAGTCGCTCATTATTAGTTCGAAAGCTTGAGTTGAAAAAAAAGTTTTAATGAAGAGTTCTGAGATCATAAAATAAATGAATATTTGCAATTTTTTCTATTTCAGTGCGAACACTTCATTTGATTAAAACATTTCCTTTCACTTGGCTCAGTTAAAAAATTTCATTCTGCTGAACAGAGATTAGTTTTCATCGCTGACCTAGACTGAAAGTTCAATGTATCTCAATGATTTCAAGGAATATTTCAAAAAAAAGAATTTTTGATTGTGTGTGATAAAATCACCGTGAATGCGGGTGTACCGGGATTATAGGGCTGTTGTTTGACCGGAGGTAAGGCGATCAAATTGGCTAACGACACATCACCAATTTGAGTGGGATTTGTGGCATTGGGCACAGATTGTGGCTCGTAATATCTGGGCGTTGTGTCTCTCTGCACAACCGCATTGGCATTTTCTAAACCATTACAGCCATTCGCATTGTCCTGAAATCATTACTGCTCTAAAATTTTGACTAGAATTTAGTGACCGCAATGGAACTCCATTATCTACTGACTTTGAGATGAAATCTGAATTGGAAGGTTACTAGTCGTTCTATTGATAATTGATCATAGGAATTTACGGTGAAAAGGCAATTTTTTATGCTCGAAATGAATAGTCAAAAAAATGCATAGCTTATCATTTGATAATGAGATTTCAGACGGAAACTTGAGCATATATAGACCAGTGGCATAGCCAGGATTTTTCCCAGGTGAGAGTGGGCCGCAAAACGGCCTGGTACCAAAATTAGCCGAATTTTGCGGTGAATTTTATGACGCTTATTTTTCCTCCTTTCGTTTCCCTCGTCCTTCTACCCACCACTTCCTTCTCCATTCGCTTATCATTTTCCTTCTTTTTTTCTTCTTTTTCATTTTTCTTCCACTCTCCAGGGCGGTAGAGGAGTGCAGACCCTCTTCCCCTTTGCAAAAAATAAACTGTTGACTTATATCATAGGCCATCTCCTATGTACCGGAATATAGGCGATTGTGTGAAAAAGCTACGAACGTACCTGTGAAATTTGACTGGCACGATATGCGGCCAATCGCTTCAAATATTCACGTTTAGCTGATTCGGTCTTTTGTTTGTATGACTGAAATTTCACATACAATACGGCATTAAGGCAAAAACATGATGATGCGTAGTCAAATTGGATTGGGAATGAATATTTTCGAATTTACAATCAGATAGCGATGAGATGAACTGGAATGTGTGAAATGAGGATTCCGCTTATAAAATGATACGGTAATATGTCGGAATATGCGTGTTAAGGTGATGGTATGTCCCATTAAAAAGTTGTGAAGAAGTGAATCGTAACGCGATGAAAATGAAACAAAATGAGTAACGTAAAGAAGTGAAGAACGAAAATTTTACAAATGACAAAGGTGAAAATTAGAAAACAAAATGAATAAATGAAAATGAACAAACATTTTTAGCGCAGCCATCGAGTGCGTCCCACATCGATGCGACAATTTTGGACACCTCACCGAATGTTGCGTTCGGTGTCCGTCCTTTGATGGCCGCTTGTGTGTCTCGAAAGAAAAGCGCATACGCCGAGACAGGCCTTCAAATATTTTAGAATGGATAAGGATGTCTAGGATCGATTTTTGGATTGCATTGTGTAATTGACAACAATATAAGGATATATTGTGCGTGCAGATAAGATTTATATGCTAGATATATCTACGCGTGTATGTGTGAATCAATAAATGAATCAGTGTTGTTGGCGATTGGAAGATAGAGATGGATAAATTCAGGATTAGAATTAGGGATTTTGGTGATTATAATGATGAGCATTATGGTG